GAGCTCTGGGCATCACCCAGGCCAACCCCCTGCCCAGGCAGGGTCACCTGCAGCAGGTGACACAGGGACTGTCCAGGTGGGGCTGGAATGTCTGCAGAGAGGGAGACTCCACGGCCCCCCTGGGCAGCTGTTCCAGGGAGAGGAGTTTTCCTCCTGCTGAGGTGGAACTCGTGTTTTAGTTTGTGGCCATTGCTCCTCGTCCTGTCACTGGCACCACTGAGCAGAGTCTGGCACCATCCTCTGACCCCCCTTGGAGACATTTGTATGGATTGATGGGATCCCCTCTCAGCCTCCTCTCCTCCACACTAACCAGGCATTAACCATCTCCTCATGGGAGATGCTCCAGACCCCAGATCCCCTTTGTGGCCTCCCCTGGACCCTCTCCAGCAGCTCCTGGTCCTGCCCCGAGCTGGAGGCAGTGCAGATGCCGGTCGCTGTGTCCAGCTCAGGGAGGTTATTCTGGAGCCCAAGGGCCCCCCATCCCCCCCATCCCCCGTACCTGTGGCCAGCAGGGTGGCCGTGGGGTCGCAGGCCATGGTGGCCACGGGCAGGGGGTGCAGGGCCCGCCAGGCGCGGGCACAGCGCGGCTCCCGCCACACCCACACCCGCAGCAGCAGCGCCCGGGAGCTCGTCAGCAGCACCTGCAACGGCACAGGGGCACCCTCAGGGCAGCAGGGACACCCTCAGGGCAGCAGGGACACCCTCAGGGCTGCAGGGGGCTGGAGTGCCATCCCTGCACACACCCCGGGCACAGGGACACGACCAGGGATAGTTTGGGCTGGAATTCCTGCCAGGGCACAGCCAGGGCAGGGGCCACAGCTCAGGCTCCCGGCATGTCCCAGTCACCCCCAGCAGGGGACACAGGGAAGGGCCTGAGGAGCCCCTGTGGGCACCTCTGGAAGCACAGAGGTCGTGGAATAGAATCAGGGAATCTGGAAGACACCCACAGGGATCATCGAGGCCAACCCCAGGCTCCCCCAAATCCCCCCGTGTTCCTGGAGTGTTGTCCCAACGCCCCCTGAGTCAGCCCAGCCCAGCCCAGCCCCCTGATCCACCCGAAATAACCTTCTGCTCCAAACCCACCTCGTCATCGGGGCTGAGCACAAAGGCAGTGACATCCTCCTCCTCCTCCTGGGAAGGGAAATCGCACAGTTCAACCATCCCCGGGGCTCAGAGCTCCCCTCTGACACCGAGCACAGCCCCGGGACGACCCCAAACCCACCCGCCCGCCTGCGTTCGGGACCGTCCCCACCCTCCTCATTCCCGGGGGCTTCACACCCACAGTGGAGCCCCTCACCTGCTGCAGGCTGTGCAGGAGCGCTCCGCTCTCCACATCGAGCACGTTCACTTTGCTCCCGCAGGGGCAGAACATGAACCTCCCATCGCGGCTGATCTGGGCGAGAGGCGGCAAAGTTACAGAGCCAGGGACCCGCGGCACTCCCAGACCCCCCGGAGCCGGGATTACCTGGATTCGCCCTCCCTTGTAGAACGGCTCGATCCTCCGCGACACGGCGTAGCTGGAAGGGAAAGAGACGGGAACGGAGCGGCCCCGTTACACCGGGACAGCGGCGGCGGCGCAGACCAGCCCGGCGGCCCCTCAGTCGCGCTTTGACGCCCATCGCGGCCCTCTCAGCCCCCATCGCGACCCTCTCAGCCCCCATCCCGACCCTCACAGCCCCCATCCCGGCCCTCACTTGCTCTTGAAGCGCACGGGATCCGCGGCCGTGTCCGCCATGGCCGCGCTCCACGTGCTTCCGGCTGCCCCGGAGCGCCGCTTCCGGCGCGCGGTGACGTAGGGAGGGGACGCCGCCAGCGCCATCTTTGTTGTGGGCACGGGGAGGCGGGACCAGAGCTCCAGGTCCTGATCCCGATCCCTCGGGACAGCCCGGTCCGGCCCCCGCGCCATTCCCAGAGCTCTTCAGCACGGCATTCCCTCCCCGCCCCAAGGAAGCCACTTCCCAGGTCCCCCCACAGGCGGAAGCGAGGTTTGCGAACGATGGGACAATGAGTGCAGATCTGACGCTCAGGTTTTTAGGCAATTAAATCTTTTATTGTGCAATAAAGTCCACAAGTGAAGCCTTTCCAGCTGCGGCCCCTGTGTCGCCGTCCATCGCAGTCTCCCCGTGCTTCGCAAGGACCCCGCGGGGCAGGGACCGCCCTGGCCACACTGTGCACCTGGGAAGGAAGGAAAGCGTTTAAACAGCGGTCCCAACGCCGGCCCTCCTGGAGCCCCACAGCACAGGGCTTATGGGAACATGGGTTTTACTCCCCACACACGGCCGTGGGCAATAAGCTTAATGTTCCCGATGCTGTGGGCGCTGTTATCTCACCCGGGGCCACGGCAGACCCAGAGTGACTTTCAGACCGCGCCGGGCCCTACCGCGGAACGCCAGAGCGCCTTCCCCGCCGCTCTGCACACCCCACCCGGTCTCACCCAACCAAAGGAGCCCTCCCGGAGCGCTGTATAAAGGCCCAAGGAGCCCCTGAAGGCACTCCCCGCGCTCCCTCCCTCACCTGCCCCAGGCCCGCCACGCAATGAGCGCCACGAGCGTGCGCGCCCTTATATACGGGGAGCCGCGCACGCGCCGGCCCCGCACCCTGTATAACCAGCCGCGAGCCGCTGATTTGCCGCGTGGGGTGTTCTTTATTCAGGTCGCGGGCTGTGCTCTCGCGAGACCCCGCGCGGTATAAATCGCAGGCGGGGCGGCCGCGCGGCCTTCTACACTGAGACAACACGTAAGGGCCGGGGTGATGGCGGCGGGAGCGGCCCGGGCCATCCGCGGCCATCGGGGCCCATCCGGGGCCATCCGCGCCCCCGGGGCCCGCCTGACGCCTCGCTCTCTTCCAGCAAATGGCGGACGACGCCGGTGCTGCGGGAGGACCGGGAGCGGCCCGCGGGGGCTTCCGCGGTGGATTCGGGACGGGGCTGCGGGGCCGCGGGCGCGGCCGCGGGAGGGGCCGGGGCCGAGGCCGCGGGGCCCGCGGGGGCAAAGCCGAGGACAAGGAGGTGAGTCCTGGGGCCGCGCCGGTGCTGCCGCCCCCGAGGATGGCGGGTGATGGCACCTGGTGATTCACTGTCCGTGGATTTCTGTGGCAGTGGATTCCTGTCACCAAACTCGGCCGCCTGGTCAAGGATATGAAGATCAAGTCTCTTGAGGAGATTTATCTCTTCTCGCTTCCCATCAAGGTGAGTTGCTGTGGATGTGGAAATGATGGGTCATGGAGATGCTCCGAGGGCGGGATTCAGGCTGGGACAGCTGGGGGGACTCACCTGGAGAAGAGAAGGCCCCAGGGAGACCTGAAAGTCCATTCCAGGGCCTAAAGGGGCTCCAGGAGAGCTGGAGAGGGACTGGGGACAAGGGATGGAGGGACAGGACAAGGGGAATGGCTTCCCACTGCCAGAGGGCAGGGTTAGGTGGGATATTGGGAAGAAATTCTTGGCTGTGAGGTTGGGGAGGCCCTGGCACAGGTTGCCCAGAGAAGCTGTGGCTGCCCCATCCCTGGAAGTGTCTAAGGCCAGGCTGGACAGGGCTTGGAACAACCTGGGATAGTCAAAGTGTCCCTACCCATGGCAGGGGTGGAATGAGAGAGTTTTCAGGTTCCTCCCAACCCAGAGCTCTCGAGGATTCCATGATTCCCGTGTGCTCAGTGCCTGACTCTCGCAGGAGTCGGAGATCATCGATTTCTTCCTGGGCTCGTCCCTGAAGGATGAGGTGCTCAAGATCATGCCTGTGCAGAAACAGACCCGTGCTGGGCAGCGCACCCGCTTCAAGGTAACCCTGCTCCTCTGCTTCCTCCCAGGGAAACCTCCCCTCTGCTCTTTCCTGCATTAATGGTGTCATTTTAATCGCTCCAAATCCCATTTTCTGTAGCATCTAGTAAATACTTGGTTACAAGAGCTGTTATTAACTTACAAAGTGTATTAATTTTACAGCTTCAGAGATATGTGCAGATATTCCTTGAAGCAGCACTGTCCCAAAAGTGGGGCTGTAGCATCTTTAAAGGTCCCTTCAACCAAACTATTCCAAGCCTGCAAAATTAGGTTACACTTGCACAGCAGCACTGGCTTTTCAGGAGAAGTTTTGGATGTAAAGAGGGAACACATTTTGGAAATTATTAGGATTTCTGCCCAGTGTGAGGCTGCTGCAGGGAATGGAATCCCAGTTCTTCAGCCTGGGCTGGTTTTGACTGAAGGATGAGCTCTGAGGGGAAAAACGGCTTTCAGGAGCGTGAGCTCTGGCGATCAGTGTTTGGTAGTGAGCTGGGAGTTCCTGCTGAGCACACCCATGGGTTATCCTTGGAATCCCAGCGGACTGTGCTGTGCTGAGGGAGCTCCTGCACAGCTGCCATCAAACCTTCTCTTCCAACGCAGGCGTTTGTGGCTATCGGGGACTACAACGGGCACGTGGGGCTGGGTGTGAAGTGCTCCAAGGAGGTGGCCACGGCCATCCGGGGGGCCATCATCCTGGCCAAGCTGTCCATCGTGCCCGTGCGCCGCGGCTACTGGGGCAACAAGATCGGCAAACCGCACACGGTGCCCTGCAAGGTGAGGCTCCGGCCGGGCTGCAGCTCTGGGGGCTGTGCCGGGGGTGTCCAGGAGCCTGACCCGCCGTGTCCCTGCAGGTCACCGGGCGCTGCGGCTCCGTCCTGGTGCGCCTGATCCCGGCTCCACGCGGCACTGGCATCGTGTCCGCCCCCGTGCCCAAGAAGCTGCTGATGATGGCTGGGATTGACGACTGCTACACCTCGGCACGGGGCTGCACCGCCACCCTGGGCAACTTCGGTGAGCGTGGGGTCACTCCGAGCTCGGGGCTGTTCCTGTCCCTGGCAGGGACACAAACCCCACCTTTCTGCTTTATTTTTAATGTTAATAACAACTGCCAGCAGGGAAGCAGAAGCCAAGGCTTCTGCTGACAGGGCAGGTTAGCCCTGCTGTGGGTGATCCTTGGGTTCTGTACAGTTACAGAAAGCGGGGGGTTTATCCTGTGCTGGTCCCGACTCATCTCCCAATCTGCGCGATTGCACTTGTGTGCCGTAGTGTAATTGTCGTAACTGGAGAGAGAGAGAAACTGAGTTTTGTGTGTTCACCAGAGAGACCTCGGCCGTGGTCTTCTCTGTCCTTGCAAAATCCTACATTTTTGGAGCCGTGGGGTGTTTTGGGAGCTGTGGGTGGGGCTGGTGAGCAGGGTCTGCAGCAGTGACAGGCCGTATGTGACATCTCTCTGCAGCCAAAGCCACCTTCGATGCCATCTCCAAAACCTACAGTTACCTGACTCCTGACCTCTGGAAAGAGACTGTCTTCACCAAGTCTCCTTACCAGGTAAGAGCATTTTGGCAACTTGCAGCTCAAATCTTACCCTTCCTGCCCCTAAAACTCAGGTTCGTGTACCCAAAAAATGGGGAGTTCTAATAAGACAGGTAATGGTTTAAGTCTGGGCTGACCGCCAGGTAAAGTGATTTTTAAGCATCTTAGTTTTGAGTAATAATTGAAAATGGGATTCCCTGGACAAAGAAGAGTAAAGCTTTGGAATGTTAGATAAGTTGAGGTACCCCAGCCCCACATACACACCTGGTGCAGGGGCTTAAGGGGTGGGAAGTGGTGCTGAGGAACCTCTGAGAGTGGATCAAGGAAATTAACCACTGTCCATGTACTTTCTGCAGGAGTTCACTGATCATCTGGCCAAGACCCACACGAGAGTGTCGGTGCAGAGGACCCAGGCAGCTGCTGTGGCCACGACTTAAGTGGGTTTTGTACAAGAATAAAGCGATGAGTGAACAAGGAATTGTGGTTGGCATGATTGGGGGTCGCTGCACGGGGCAGGTGTGGTAAATCATAAAATGGTTTGGGTTGGGAAGGACCTGAAAGCTCATCCCATTCACCCCCTGCCATGGGCAGGGACACCTTCCACTGGCCCAGGTGGCTCCAAGCCCCGTCCAGCCTGGCCTTGGACACTTCCAGGGGGCACATCATCTTTAGCCAGACCGAGGGAATTCTCAACAGGGCTGCCAGAGCAGCACAGAGTGATTCTGGTGGCTCGTGGAGGAGAGGGAGAGGTCCAGAGGGCAAATCCCAGTTCTGGCAGCCTGGGGTGCCTGAGTTTAGGGCTTTGCAAGAGCTCTTCAAAGAATGAATCCAGATCCCGATTGTACAGATGCCTGGGCTGCACATTTATTGTGGAGGCACCGGAGGTCAAGGATGCCACATGCACTTGGGTACCAGCACCGTGGAGCGGGAGGGAACCGTTCCAGCTCTACTCAGACTCCTTTGCTTGTGCTGCTTTCCTCTCCTCCATCATCCTGTGCTTCTGCTTCATCAGACACGTCCGTGCATTTCCATGGAAACCCAGGTCACCGTCTAGAAAGACAGGAAATGTCTGAGCAGTGCCTCCCATAAGCCTGTGTTCCATGTGAAGTCTGGGATGTGTGAAACCCTGGGTTTCAGACCCCTGTTCCCTGTGTGCTTGTTCCCATACTCACATCTGTCCTGGTAGGCCTTGGTGACCTGTTTCAGCAGCTCCATCTCCTTGGCACAGTTCTGGAACTGGTTGGGTCCTTCCCTCTGCCTGCACGCACCCAGCCTTTCCCGGACTATCTCCACAATTTCCTGATCAACCATCCTGCAGGAAAGGTGACAATGAGTGTAACAGCAGCCAAGAGACGACAGAAAAGTTGAACCAAGAGGTGAGGATACCCAGTGGAATGTCAGCACTGGGTTTTTAAGGATCATGGTCCCTAATGCCACTTTGCCCATGGATAGCAGGACTGAGAGGTGGGTAATGTATAATGGGGTGGCCAGGAGATGCTGCAGCTGCCAGGGCTGAGTGCCCAGAGCTGTGACCTCGCCTGGGGACAGCCCAGGGACAGCCGTACCTGTCCCTCCTCCACTGAGCCTCGGCCTCGAAGAAGCACAGGTAGTCGCCCTCCAGGCACTCGCTCAGGTCGGGCACACGGCGGAACTTCTGGTGGTAGTAGTAGAACTTGTTCTTGGCTTGCTGCCGCTCGATCCACTCTGGGGGGACAGCCTGGTCAGACACCCCAGCCCCAGATTCTGAGGGGCAGCACAGCCCCAGGACCCACCCCAGCCCAGTGCCACCTTACTGGGCACAGCAGATTCATATCTGCATCCAGCTCATGTGCCCTCCTGTGCATCCCTCATCTGTGCTGTGTCCTATGTCCCTGTGTCTGTCCTGTCCATCCTGTGGTCCTGTCAGTGTCCCCATGCCCCTGCATCTTTACCAGTGTCCATGCTGTGTCCCGTGTCTGTGTCCCAGTATCCATGCTGTGTACCCTGTCCCTGTGTCTGTCCCTCTGTCCATGCTGTGTCCCATGCCCCTGAGTCCATCCATGCCAGTGTCCGTGCTGTGTCCCCGGTGCTGTCCCTGTCCCTCTGCCCGTGCTGTGTTACTGTCTGTGCCAGTGTCCCCGTGCCCTTGTGGGTCCCTCCACGCCCTGTCCCGGTGCCCGTGCCCTCACGCCTGTGCCCCGGTGTGCCCGTCCCGGTGTGCCCGTCCCCACGTCGCGGCCCAGCTCCCGCGGGGGGCTATCCCGCCTCGCCGGTACCTCGGACGAAGGTGACGGGCGCGTCAATGACATAGCCGAGGAAGGTCTGCAAGAAGGGGACGGGGTTGGGCACCGGCGAGGTGCTCTCGACGACGGGGGTGCGGGTCGGCGGCACCTTGTACGCCTCCCAGTCGTGGTCCTCCGGCATCGCGGCGGCGGCAGCGGGGGCAGCGGGAACGGGAGAAGATGGCGGCGGCGCCTGAGGCGGCGGAGAGCGCGGGGGGGCGGAAAAATGGCGGCGGCCCCTGAGGGGGCGGGAGCGCGGGGAGATGGCGGCGGCCCCGGGGCAGGCTGGGAGCTGTAGTCCCTGTGTCCCTCCTGCCTCACGGGATCCCGGGATGGGCCGCCTGCGAAGGGACTGCAGCGTGTCCCGAAATTCTTCCCTGTGAAGGCGGGGAGGCCCTGGCACAGGTTGCCCAGAGAAGCTGTGGCTGCCCCTGGATCCCTGGAAGTGTCCAAGGCCAGGTTGGAGCAACCTGGGCTGGTGGAAGGTGTCCCTGGCCGTGGCAGGGGGTGGAATGAGATGATCTTTAAGGTTCCTTCCAACTCAAACCAATCTGTGATTCCAAGCTCTGTTGCCTCAATCACTTCTCCAGTCAGAATCACAAAGCCTTCCTTGCCTGGGCTGATGGAGGGATTTTCAGTCCGAGCTGGGGGTGCCTGGAGCAGGTGTTCACAGCTGTGGGTGAGGTACCCGGGAGGAAACTGGCCTAATTCCTGCCATTCTCGCTCAGGTTGTTCAGGAGGGAGACGTGTAAAGTGAGACAGCAGCAACTGACCTTTATCACTCCACAACTGTCATGTCCAACCTGCCAGCTTGGCCAGGAATGAAATGAATATCGCAGCGGGTGAAGCGAGCGGCTAAATTTGTGTCTTCAGACCGATAACCATCTTAAGTATTAATCTGGGGAGGCACTTAGTGACAGCCTCTTTCTGCCGCTGCCCCGGGCTGAAGACGTCCCATGGTCGGTGCAGCTCTGCTGCTGTCGCTTGTGTGCAGAGCAGGGCTGGGTTTTGCTCATGGAAGTGCTGCTGGAATGGGGTCAAACTCCCGGTGGTTCCACTCAGGCTGCAAAACAAGCTTGGTAGAAAGCGCAGCCGGGTGCTGGGACTGATCTTAGCAAGGAGGGAGCTGCAGTGGGCGCAGGACTAACCCTTTGCTGCTTGGGCTGACCCCCAGTTCCCTGCCCTGAAAGCAGTTGTGTGAGAACTTGTCCACGCTGCTTTCTCTCTGCATGACCTTGTGATTGGGGTTTATAGATTTGTTTCTTCTAATTTGTTTTTCATGGCACATTTTGAACCTGTACGTGTTCCTGTTACCAATTCCTTTGGGCATCCTTTCCCATTTTTTTCTAATCCTTGGCTGTGCTTGTTTGGTGCCATTTGCCTTCGTGACATGAAGCCCAGGAATTCCAGGCAGGCCCTTTTGTTGCTGCAGTACACAAAATAAGTAATTTTAATTAAAGGCACAGAAGGATAGGCCTAGGAAGCAATATATTTCTTCTTCAGAGTCCTCGAGCAAAGCCGAAGGACAGAGATTGTATTAAGTTTTTTTATTTAATTGGCAGAATTTGTCCAGAAAATTAGCAAATTCAGATTGAGAGTAGCTTTAGGTTAGATATTGGGAAGAAATTCTTCCCTGTGACAGTAGTGAAGCCCTGGCTCAGGTTGCTCAGAGAAGCTGTGGCTGCCCCTGGATCCCTGGAAATGTCCAAGGCCAGGCTGGACAGGGCTTGGAGCAGCCTGGTCCAGTGGAAGGAGTCAGGGTTGGAACTGGGTGAGCTTTAATGTCCCTTCCAACCCAAACCATTCCACAATTCTATGAAATCCTTCCATGCACGTGATGGAAGCTTGAACAAAGTCCCATCCTGTTATGAGTTCTTGTGCTGGAATCAAGGAAGAGCCCAGAATCCCTTCAGCATTCCCACTTTTAAAGGGGAGACTTGCCATTGGGGTTTTGTTGTTTTTCCCATTGTCCCATATTTTGGGACCCGAGGGGGGAGCTGACCTTTGCCGTTCTTCTCTGGCAGTCCCACCGCAAGTTCTCTGCTCCCAGGCACGGCCACCTGGGCTTCCTCCCGCACAAGAGGAGCCGCCGGCACCGCGGGAAGGTGAAGGCGTGGCCCAAGGATGATCCCAGCAAACCAGTGCACCTGACAGCTTTCCTGGGCTACAAGGCTGGGATGACACACACTGTGCGGGAGGTGCACAGGCCTGGGCTCAGTAAGGCTTGGCTGGAGCCACAGCCAGGAGGGCATCGAGGGAACCCCTGTGGGTGGGAATCTCCTGGGAAAGGGGTGGTGGGGATCACAGCTTCCAGGTTATGTCCTGCATATCCAAACCTTGGGTGGTCAAAGGCCACCTCAGCGTGAGCTGAGTAGGTGGGGGGAGTCCTGGGAATGCCCACACTGGGATGGCGAGGGGTGGTCTGGGAGATGGGAAGGCTGGGACTGGCTGTGGGAGCAAACACCACCTCTGCCCCAGTGCTGGCCGTGACAGCCTGCCCACGGATCCCCAGGGGAGTGACCTGGTCCCAGATGGTGCTGAGCACCACTTCCCTTGGCTGCCTTGCAGAGGT